TGGCCATCGTCATCGCTGCCATCGCAGCGCTGGCCATTGTTATCTGTTCCATCGCTACTCCATCTTTCTCATCGTTGCGCCATCTCTCTCCATCGGTGCGCCATCGCTCTCCATCAGTGTACCATCTATGTCCATCTCTCTCCATCGGTCCGCCATCTCTCTTCATCGGTGCGCCATCGCTCTCCATCGCTGATTCGTTGGGCCATCTCCTGCGTCATCTCTCTCCATCGCTGCGCCATCTATCTCCATCGCTGCACTATCTCTTTCCATTGCTGCGCCATCTTTCTCCATCACGGACTCTCTCCATCGCCACACCATCTATCTCCATCGCTCCTGTGCGATCTCTTCTCTATCGCTGCGCGATCTCTTCTCTATCGCTGCGCGATCTCTTCTCTATCGCTGCGCGATCTCTATCCATCTTCGCACCTTGTCTCTCCATCTTCACGCCTTGTCTCTCCATCTTCGCGCCATCTCTCTCCATCGCTCATCGCGGACTCTCTCCATCGCTGCTCCATCTCTCTCCATCACTCCTTCGCAATCTCTTCTCCATCGCCGAGCGATTTCTCTCCATCACTCCTGCGCGATTTCTCTCCATCACCACGTGATCTCTCTCCATCGCTGAGTGATCACTCTCCATCCCTCTCCATCACTGCGCGATCTCTCTCCATCACTGGGCTCCCTCCATCGCTGCGCCATCTATCTCCATCGCTCCTGCGCGATCCCTCCATCGCCATTGTATTGTTGTTTTAGTCCGCTGTCGGTGTAGCCGCCCATCATTGTGGAATCGCACGAAACAGGTGTCAGGTATGCCTAATGAAGGTTTAACGCGATAAATTTCACTTTGATTAATACTTCTGCTTGTTGAACTGATCTCTAGATCAACATTAGTTACGCATTAAATGATGTTGTTCAATAACTAATCTTGGTCATCGTTGCGCCAACTCTCTCCATCGGTGCACCATCTATCTCCATCGGTGCGCCATCGCTTACCATCGCTGCGCCTGCTCTCTCCATTGGTGCGCCATCTTTCTCCATCGGTGCGTCATCTCTCTCCACTGGTGCGCGATCTCTTCCGATCGTTCTCCATCTATCTCCATCGCTGCGCCTTCTTTCTCCATCTATCTCCATCGCTGCGCCTTCTTTCTCCATCTATCTCCATCGCTGTGCCATCTTTCCCCATCTATCTCCATCGCTGCGCCATCTTTCTCCTTCTATCTCCATCGGTGCGCCATCTTTCTCCATTGGTGTGCCATCGCTAACCATCGTTGCACCTGCTATCTCCATTGTTGTGCCATCTTTCTCCATCGGTGCGCCATCTCTCTCCATTGGTGCGTGATCTCTCTCAATCAGTTCGCGATCTCCCTCCCTCGCTGCGCCATCTACCTTTTCCCCGGAATACAACTTACGTTCATTATAGTTGTCTTAAGACTAAAAGATGCCCCAAATTCAGCTATAATGACCGTACGTTGTATTCGGGGGAAGACTGTATCTCCATCTATCCTTTTCGGTGCGCCATCTCTCTCCATCGGTGCGCGATCTCTCTCCATTTACCTTCATTGGTGCGTCGTCTCTCCATCGGCGCGTGATCTCTCTCTATCTCTCCATCGTTGCACCATATTTCTCCATCTATCTTAAAAAAATACTACGCCATCTTTCTCCATCTATCTCCATCGCTGCCTCATCTTTCTCCATCTATCTCTATCGCTGCCTCATCTTTCTCCATCTATCTCCATCGTTGCGCCATCTTTTTCCATGCTTGCAGTTTCGAATTCGGATTGAATGTGGTGAACGAATCCGAGTAAACTCGCGCTTTTTCTCGGCCCAAAAAAATGAAGTCATTTTCTACGTGCGAATTTCTTTGCTTTTGAACCAACTAGGAATCTAATTTCTTACTATACAGCGAATAAGTTTGAATCAACTCGCACTTGTACCCTCAGTTTCGAAATCGAAATGCTCGTTTCAAGTGCGAATTTATTCGCTCTTGAACCAACCAGACCCTAAATTTGTTACTGTATAGTCGATATGTCAGAATTAACTCGAACTTGTACTCTCAGTCTCGAAATCGAAACACTCGAGCAGTAAACTCGCGGCTCTTCTCGGCCCCAAAAAAAAAGAAGTCCTTTTCTATTTGCGAATTTACTCGCTATTGAACCAATTAGGAAGGTAATTTCTTATTGTACGGCGAAATTGAAATGCTCGTTTGAAGTGCGAATTTATTCGCACTTGAGCCAACCACGCCCCTAGATTTCTTGTTGTTTGGTGGATAAGACTGAATTAACTCGCACTTGTACTCTCGATCTTGAAATCGAAAAACTCGAGTAAACTCGCGCTTCTTCTCGGTGAAAAACAAAATTATAGTCCTTTTCTATATGCGAATATATCCGCTCTTGAACCAACTAGGAATCTAATTTCTTACTGTATGGTGAATAAGTCCGAATGTACTCTCACTTTTCATGATCTTCGTGCTACGTCTTCAATGTGCGAGTATATTTTCTTCTGGACCAACCACGAATCTATTTCCAACTGTATAGGGCATAAGTCCAAGTCAACTCTCAGTTGTGATGGCCCCTCAATGTGACGCACTTTTCTATGTGCGAATTTATTCTCTCTTTGACCATCCAGGAACCTTATTTCTTACTATATGGTGAATAAGTCCGAATCAACTCGCACTATACTCTCGTACTTGTACTCTCGCCTGGATGCAAGTACGCACCTTATTTTATGTGGGATAAAAAGTGCGAGTTGACTCGGACTTATCCAAACCACTTGCACATTAAACTAACTATCAGGAAGAGCAGTCCTTCAACCAGCACAAGAGAACGAGTGGGAGAGGAGTCGGACTTGAGATACCACTTGACCTTCAAATCAGGGTCTGGAAGTGCCACAACGTCCCTGGTTGGTTAAAGAGCGAATAAACTCGCACATACATAGATTACACGAGCCCGAGAAAACGAAATAGATTCAAATACTGTTGTTCCATTGTTTTGTGATAAATATTAGAAATGCGAGTTTACTCCCTCTTGTTTATTTTCCTGACCTCATTATACGTTGACGTGATTTTCTTGTTGTACAGTTTTCGTGTGAATCGTCTCTCCAAATGGGTCTCCAAACCGTCCCCTATGTCACGCCACCGCCACCGTCACGACAACGCGGAGAAGACGATGTTCGAGAACGTAGTTCTTGTGACAGCAGCCCGGAAGCTCCCTCTAAACGGCCTTGCGGTTTGAAAAGGGACTTCTCGATGTTGACCCCGACGAATCATTCAGGCTCCTCTACGACGTCCAGTCGGCGTCGTTTTGTTCACTTTACCGACGTTCCCGACGGTCAGCCCGTATCTACAACGTTAATCCCCGATAGTGAGGGTAATCGGGATATGGAGACGTTTCCCGGTGGACTGATGTTCGTGGACACTGATTTGTCCGAAACGACTGGATCAGATCTCATGCGGACAACGGGTAGACTATGTGAAAGCATTGAAGTTACCCAACCCCTACGGTACGCCTGATAGAAACTTCTACGGTACGCCTGATAGAAACAGATCTGATCGAGAACAGTGCGGTACGTCTGATAGAAATGGATCTGATCGAGAACAGTGCGGTACGTCTGATAGAAACGGGTCTGATCGGGAACAGGCAACCGAACATCCGTGTGAAAGTGTCGAGATAGGTAAGAGAATTGTATGTGAAGCCGGAAAAATTAGCTCTCCATCGATGGCAACCACGGGTGCAATGAGAAATTGGCAGATTGGTTTTGTAGACACAGATTTCTACAGTTTATCGGAGTCTTCCCAATCTGATTTGATGAGGACCGCTCCCACAGACAGATCTGAATTCATAGATGCAGCGCATCGGTCCCCGACAAAAACTCACCCTGGAACTCCCGAGGCAATCCTTGAGGTTTTGTCTCATCCCCTACCTGGAGAAAGGAGAAGATATAATCGAAAAACTAGGCCGGTTAGAAGGTTAAAACATTCGAAGAGGGCCAAATGTCGATTGAATGAAACTAACATTGCGCTCGTCCTAACGCGCAAATGTTGTAAGAACAAGTGTCTTCGGGTTTTGACCATTGACAATATCAAACCGCTGCACGAAGCTTATTACGGAATGTCCCTCGAAAGGAGGATCGAGTGGTGCATGCAAAGCCTTGACAATTTCACTATCCTTGACGGTGGTTTGGAAAGAGTCGAACCAGTGCAGTGCAAACGCCGTGTGTGCATCGCCGTTTGGTGTAAAATAATAGGGATATGTCGAAACACATTTCGTCGTTATAGCAAGTGCAAGTCAGACGGGGTCGTCCGTAACCGGCATGGTCGATGGGGATTGTTGAACCCGAGACCCGAGTATGTGAGCATGCTGGCTCGTATGACAAGGTTCGTGGAAGAACATGGAGATGCTATGCCTAACGAAATGGTTGTGAGGGGGACCTCACAGAGACCTAAAGTTAGGCTCCCTACTTATTTTACGAAGCTCCTTGTCTACGAGTCCATCAAGGCGGACTTGGAAGCGGCGGGTCAAACCGTCGTTTCGGAGCAAGTCTTCTATTCCATATGGAGGAAGTACTTGTGGCATGCCGACCTTGCCAAATCCAACTCGTTCACAAAGTGTGGCGAGTGCGTTCGCCTTAGACAGGCCAGAGATAACGCCCTTCGCCTTCGTGACCGTAAGGATTTCGACGAAAAGCACCGTAAACACCAACTACATCAGGTCGCTCACCGTGCAGATTACGCTAATTGGAAACTTCATTCCATTTTGAACCCCGCAGAATACCTTTGTCTTATAGTGGATGAAATGGATTAGAAAAAGACAACCATTCCTCACATCGGCATGCATAATTACTCCAAGGATCATCGGCACGACATGATGATGAAAACGAACCTGACCACAGTTGTAGCTCACGGTAGGAAACCGTCCATTTATGTTTACATGTATTTGTTTTTCTATGCGCACGGTTTCGATGGTACCACGACGTGCGTTATGTGGACTCTATGTGAGTTGCAGGCGTCGGGACAGAAATGGTCGCGCCACCTCCGAATCTAGGCGGACAATTGCTGGAAGGAAAACAAAAATCAATACCTTATGTGTTTGGCCTCTCTTCTAGTAAAATTCGGGATTTTCGAAGATGTCGAACTGGGTTCATGCTCGTTGGCCACACGCATACTGACATAGACGCGACTTTTAGTGTTTTCTCGAAAAAGATGAAGGACAACGATGCTTACACCATGAAGCAATTGTTCTCGTTTATCGAGTCTTTGCACAAGATACCGCCGAAGTGCACTGAGCTCGATCACATTGCCGATTGGCGCCGGGTTGTGGATCGATACGTCGACAAAAGCATCGTCGGCATGTCGAAACCGAATCTCTTCAAATTCTTCATGCTTAACGGCAATCCCGTCATGGTGTACAAAAAGTACTGCACCGATGCAGAATGGATGCCGGAAGGCAAACCAGTTCACTGGTTCCCGGTTGTCGATGGAGAGTATGCAGGCCCTACCTCCCCTCCACAACCATGTGTTATTCCCCGTGTCGTCAAAGAGGATTTTCGGATGGCTCGTGACAGTGTCCAAAAATTCTTGGACGTCCTCGAACAACACAGACACATGTGGCAGACATATAGGAAGGACGAGGTTGACAAGCGGGAGGATGCTTTGTCTTAATGGAAAGCCATCTTCGTCGAGGCGGACGATATGATCCAAGAGCAAAAGAAGAAGGAGACGGGACAGGGTGATGAAGAGGATGTCCTCGGGGCGGACGAGCCCGAGATCTACCCTCACGCCTTCTGGCCACAATCAGTCGAAACAATGGATGAAGTTCAAGAAACCGACCCTCCTTCGCCAGAGGCTTCGCTTATATATGTAGGACCGAGGGCGGACCGTCCAAAAGTGGACTTCGACCCTCGGCGTCATATAAACAAAGGTCGTTTTGTGATTGTTAGGCCACCCGATGAGGAACTGTCTCAATGTGTCCCATTCTGGGTTGGTAAAGCACAGTCTGAGGTTGTGGACGACCGTTCCTCTCCTCATTTCGGTTGTTTACGTATACAGTGGTGGATGCCTACAGGTCACTCGTCCGATCTTCGCGAGAGGTACCCCGGCGCTTGGACGAAGAGGTGGAAACTTTCCACTTCAGACGAGGAACAATGGCAACGCGCCGAACCATGGCTTATTCCTGGAGAAGTCCCTTCCGCAAAGGAGCGGATGAAAGCAAATTCGTGACAAGCCTTACAATACCGACATCCGTCTGCGAGAAAGCACTTGTGGCCCTGGGGGACGGCTGTCTTTCCGGTCCGTCCGACGTGCCCGTTTAGTTAAGTGCGAACTGATTCGGATTTGTTAGCTACGAACTCCGCAAAGATAATGACAAGACGTTAACTGCGAACTGATTCCGATTTCTTGTCCTACAGGATTGATGACGACGGCGCACCATCGTGCGACGTTGTATACGAGACAACGTCCTACGAAACCTCGTCGTACGCGAGGGAGTATTCCTTTTCAATCGAGAATGTGGACAGGGATCTTATCATCATGAACAAAAATATTTGGGCACGAGGAATGGTCAGTCTTGACAGCGATTATCTGCATGTCGAAGCTGGAGTCGGCCTCAACGGTTACATTGAACCCGAAACTCGTGTAATTGATGGACAAACTACAATAATTTGCGATAGAGGGTCAAATATATAGTACCTCTACTGGAGTTTAGAAGAAGTCCAACTTTGGGGAAGTTCTATCCAGTCTGGAGGAGAACCTCGATGTCGAAGATATGGTAGATTCGTGGAACTCACTGCGCTTAGAACAAGATTGGGATTGTATGGACAACCAGCATGCTAAACTTTGCGCTTGGTACTGCATCGGGAAGCCGCTGTTGCGTTCCCCTGTGATCATAGACTACCATGGCCGAGCTTGTCTGTTCAACCGTGGCACCCCTTTACTAACTCTTTTCACGGCGGCCAAGCTTGATGGTAAGCGAATAAGAGTTTTCTTCCTTGTGAGGGAAGACTTTCGCGAGCCCACGTCCGAGGGTGCTCTGAAGCGCTTCCGTGATCGATTCGAAATAGATCCTTCGCTTGCAAAAGAATTGAATCTAATGGTTGACTTTTTGGTGCATGCCCAACTTCACTTCCTTTTCGGATTATGTGATGAGATATTCTTCACGTTGGAACGCAAGGACAACTACAATGACTACACTCTACGAAAAGTTTCGCATCACTGTTTCGGTGTCCAAACATTGGAATTCGTAGGTGGTAAGCGAAGACAGATCTACGACTGTCCTTACTGTGACGATGGACACCAGTTGCCCTGACCTGCTATGTGAGCCTTCCTATTTGGAGATTTCCACAACTCGGAGTTAGTTCGCACTTTGTTGCTGTACTCATAGGAAAACCTCGCAGTTCATCGACGACCTCGTTTCCGCTTCTCCTGTTACTGTTTCCACCCCGTACTATTTTCACCCCACAGCCCTGCTATTTCCACCCCGCAGCTCTGCTATTTTCACCCCGCAGCTCTGCGTTTCATCGACGACCTTGTTGTCACTGTTTCCACCCCGCAGCTCTGCTATTTTCGCTTCTCCTGTCCGTCGCACAATTGGAAGTACGGACACCCTGTAACGAGGTGCGAATCTATTCTCAGTTATCGGATCCCCAGTAGGTCGTTTCTCCAAACCGGATTCCCGACCTCGCAAGTCACATCGTTATTGTCATGTGCAGTGCTCACCCTCATTTCCTTTACTTGATATGTCCCTTTCGACATAGTCCCCCCTGCATGTGTCGCGTGCTTCATGCACTCGAATCATCCTTGCACAATTGGGAGTGGGAGTATACTCACACTTTCCATTTGTGCTAGACTACGTGTGTTCGTTTTCACTTCTCTTGTACCTTGCACAATAGAAAATACGGCCACGCTGTCACGAAGTGTGAATACATTCTCAGTTATCATACCCCGAGTAGGCCGTTCCGTTGCTCCTTAATAAATGTGTGTGACTTCGTTTCATTATGAACTGGCGTAAGTGAGAGTATACTCGCAGTTGCCATTCCTGCCAGACTCCGTGGACGTCATCGCTAACATGCTACCTCGTGCTTCCACACGTAATGCAGGATGAACTTCAACCAGACCTCGGCCCGCGCAAGCGCTTCTAGCTCGTCTCACGGCGGCGTCTCGCCAGACCGGATTCCCGATCTCGGTCTTTTCATTTTGGACAAGAATATATGGGAGTACGAGCGAGTGAACTGTTCACGACGATATCTGAACATCGAGTTGGATGTTGCGCCTGATGGGCAAGTTCCCGTGATATTGAGGATGGGCGCCACCGCCGATGACCTTGCCGTCGATAGAGATGTGGGTTGGAACTTCTGGTACCTGTACTCCTTGGAAGATGAAATTGATGTAGAGCCCGTCGGCGAGGAGGGAGATTCAGAACCTGCCACTCCTGAAGAGATGACGGACGTGTGGCGCGTCGTCTGTGCAAAGCAGAGCTGGTCAAACGCCGACAGGAGGCACGTAAAGCTTTGTGCCATGTTTTGCCTGGGACAACCGGTTGTGCCTGCACCGATCATCATAGATTATTACGGTCGCGTTCGGGTATTCAACCGTTACACGACGATAGTGATGCTGTTCACGGCCGTGAAGGTTGACGCTCGAAAGATGAAAGCGCTTTTCATTGCAAGGGAGGAGTTCCGAGGAGTCACCCTCAATTCTGTGCAAGCGTTTCGCAGCCCCACGGTCGAGGGTGCACTCAGACGCTTCAGAGATCCGTTCTCGCACGATGCGACATTAAGGAAGGAGGTCAACTTCAGAGTCGACTGTTTGGTGCACTCTCAGTTGCACTACCTTTTCGATAACTGTGACGAGATTTCCTGGAAAGTGGAACATAGGGACCACAACTTAGAGGCTGTTTTCGAGAGGAGGAATATTGTCTGTCGACGGTCCGTGATGTGTATGACTGTTCGTACTGTCGCAACGGACATCCTGAATATCTGTAAGGAAAATGGTCCTCGATAGGAGAGTAGTCTGACCGTTCCACATGAATGACGTGTTGGAAATGAGTCGAGATTAAGCGGCGGTTGCAGGACTTGCGCGCGCTTGCGAAGTGCGAATCTATTCTCACTTATCAAACCACATGAATAACATGTAGAAAATAAGTCGAGATTAAACGACGGTTATAGAACTTGCGCTCTCTTGCGAAGAGCGAACCAATTCCCAGCTATTGAACCCTTTCGTGCACATCAAGATTCTGTATTTGTTGCTTATACACATCAAGGTCCTGTATTTGTTGCTTATGCACTCGGGAGAATCGCAACTGACGCGCTTCCTTGCATTTCTCCGCTGATGCAGAATGGATATCGGTACTTCGTCGCAGAGTACGAACTCCTCAGCGTCGGACATCGATCTGATCATTTTGTCAAAGAAAATTTGGGAAGACATTGGGCGTTCTGTTGTGGACCGTAACTACCTGCACCTCGAAAATGATGTTGCCCCCGACGGGAAAATCCCTTCGTGGCAAAGTGTGGAAGAAGGACACCTTCAGATTTGTCGTGATACAGGGTCGAACTTTTGGTACCTGTACACTCTGATGAAGGATGTACAGGCATACCCTATCGGGTTGGAGTCACTTCTGAAGAGGGAACCCGTCGAAGAGGAACCCGTCCAAACTTCTGAGATGGTGGAAGCATGACACATTTTATGTGAGAAACTAAAGTGGACGTCGTTGGACAAGTTGCATCAAAAACTTTGTGCCTGGTTTTGCCTCGGGAAACTGACGAAGCCGGCTCCAGTAATCATGGACTACTTCGGTCGAGTGAGGGTGTGTAATCGTGGCACCACCGTGGTGACGCTCTTCATTGCCGTGAAGGTGGACGGTCGAAGAATGAGAGCTCTTTTCCTAGCAAGGGAGGAATTTCACGGTGTCAAACTCACTTCTTTTCAAGCGTTTCACACATCCGGCCCTACAGGTTCCCTTGCGCGGATTAAAAACAGGCTAGCCATTGATCATGCACTCAAAGATGAGTTGGATTTGAGGGTTGACTGCTTGGTGCACCAACAACTTCACTACCTCTTTGATAGCTGTGACAAAATAAATTTCACAGTCGAACATAGGGACAACGAATTGCGATTTGTTTACCGTTGTCTGGATTATTCAGCCTCCGGACCTCAGGATGTGACACTGCGCATCGGGAAGACGAGATATGTGTGCGACTGCCCTTACTGCGATGCTGGACATCTACAACTTCACTAGCGGCGTTAGACTCGCACCAAGCTTACATCCCTTTGAATTTCATTGAATGTTGCCGCAACTGAGAACATTTGTGGTTTAGAGTGGTTTGGCAACACTGGGATTCCCAGATACCGCTACCTTCCGGTCGCCGATGATGATGAAAGTCCGCCGTTCTACGCAGAGAAGATGGTGACAGTCCGCCGTTCTGGGGAGACCGTTACCCGTTCCAAATCCGTAACTCGAGCAATTTGAATGGACCCCGCGCTTTACCAGCCGATTCTGGCGACGACTCCACGAGGTGTACGACACACAGCTCCGCTTCGCTTGGTCTTACCATCCTCAGACTGATGGTCAGACCGAGATCACGAACAGGACTCTCAGAGATATTCTCCGAAAGATTGTTCGTGACGACCAGCAGTGGGATCTCCATCTTGCCCATGCGGAGATAGCCTACAACCACGCCGTCTTGCCAGCCACGAGAATGTCGCCTTACGATTGTGACCTCGGCTATCACCCTCGTGTTGCCGCGGATTTCATTCGACCGTCACAGATGCACCCTGACACGAGTTGTCTCGCACTGGATGATTGGGTTGCACACATGACGTCGATCATGAAGACCGCACATGAGCACATAGCCGCTTCTCAAACTCGCATGGCCGCACGTGTGAACCGATCGAGGATGGATCATTCATTCAAAGTCGGTGATGATGTGCTTATCGACGCCCGCCACTTACAGCTCGAAGCGACACGCTTCGCAAGTTTCGACTTCGCTTCTTTGGCCCATGCCGCATTCTCCAGGCCGTCGGTTCTGATACGGCTTCTAGCCTGGTCAGCTTCCGTGTGAAGCTGCCCGACTACCTATGCTAGGCTCATGTGCACGATGTCTACCCCGTCTCGTTACTGCGTCCCTACCGCAGACCGTCTGAGCGTGTCACTGGACGACCATACGAACGCTCTCCACGCATAATGGTGAACGGCCACGAGGAGTTCCTTGTTTCAGACATCATTGGTCGTCGAGTCACTGACGACAACCCTCCCCATGTCGAGTATCTCATACGTTGGAAGGGTTACCCTGATGAGGACGCTACGTGGGAGCCCCTCGAGCACTTGCAACACGCTCGTATGTTGGTGCGTGACTATGACCGTGCTCGTCGTGATGGGTCGACTGCTCCCCCTCAGCCCACTAACCCTCCTCCTTCCTCCTCGGCTGAGGAGACCGCTGAAGTCGAGCCTGCTCCATCTGAGGCTGACCTTCAGCAGCAGCCGGATGCTTCTAAGCGTCCACAACGCACTCGTTGTCGTCCTGCTCGATACGACGATTGACTCTGACTTATCTTCCCACGTTTTTGACTTTTCGGTACTCCATCCACACCAGTTTTGCTACTTCAGCTCGCCGATGTTGCGGCTCTTCCTCTACGGCATTCCGGACTTCTCATCATGGACGTCATCGACAGCTTCATGGACTTCGTCATGATCAGCTCTGCCTACTTCACACGTCATCACTCTCTTACCACTTTACCCTGTACAGTACCCTGGTTGTGTCGCATGATGGTCTCCCTTCGCCGGGTTCCTCTGAGTTGGGCTCTCCCTTGGTATACGCATAGGCATCGGAACCGTAGCGTTGCCCTGGCTTCCTAGCTTACGGATCTAGCTCCGACTTCCCTCACTTTATGAGTCGTTTGCATGATTTCCTTACCCATCACCTTTCTACCCTCTGTCGGCCCTCACGCCCTAGTTAGGCATGCTTCATCTATGTGCGCCCAGTATACCAGGCTCCCTTGTTCCCTTGCATGGTCTACCCTCCATAGCGGTCACCCCTTTAGTCAAGCATTACCCGCCCTGATGGTCTATCTGTTAGGGTCATTGGTTTTGTTCGCTCCCAGTTCCATACCCTCATTGAGCCTGATGACATGTGTTCCCCCTGTCACTATGTGTGGATGGCCTTAGGAGTTATCGACTCCTAGGCTGCATTCGCCACCGTCAGAGACCATCCCACCCTTTGGTTTGCGACACACTCCTCCTGTGACATATGGTTGACTTGTTGTTCCTTTGTTGCTCTCAGACGGAGGCTACTGCCTCCGACATTTCTAGGATTTAGTTTTTTTGCTTTTGTTGTTCTTAGGACTTATACACTAGTCAGCTATATCCAGACTGAGGCTACTGCCTCCAACATTCTAGGACCTAGTTGTCATTACTTTCTGCTTTCCTAGGACATGTATGCTAGTTGGTCGCTTTTGCTTTCACTTAGGCTGTTAGTTGTGACATTGCTGTTTTTGTGACATTTTCTATTCTAGGTTGCATCACATGGACTCAGCATGGAGCTTGCTCCGCATCCTTAACTACTCAGGTTTTCTTTTTCTTTGGTAGAGTTCCACTTCTTGGCGGAAGCGTGCGTGTATCTAGGCGATCCATCACAGGTCGAGGACCATGTGGCGGACCTCTGGTTGGCCTATGAGACCAGCCCCTTGGCCTGTTCTCACAAGCCTGGGTTGTATTCGGGGCAGTCCAGTCCAGGCCGGTACCTCTCTCGGTACCAGCCATTCCAGTCCAGTCCAGTCAGTCCGCTGGGGTATACCCCAGCTGTTGTCTATTCTCGGATCATTCTGCATTCGCACAGTTTGGAGTACGTGCGTTGGACTCTGGCGTGGGAGCTGCGTTGTGCCATCTCGCTCCCCTTCTTCCTCCATCTCCATCTCTATCCCTGGCGGAGCACCACAACTGGTGGGTCCACCACACTAATAACCCCACCAACACCCCCATACCCGCCCCCAATACCCCCATACATCTCCTCAACACCCCCAAACCGCCTCCCAACACCCTCATACCCCCCCCCAATACCCCCTATACAACCCCTATATCCCCCTACACCCCCCCTCTGTAGTAAAGAGCAGAAAATTGCAGTGATTTTTTCCTTTCTACATAGGGCGTATGCTATGGGCACACTTCTGGGTTCAGAAGCTGTTTTTCTTTTCAGTTTAAAACTTGAGTTGCGACATCGGCACTTTCCTGATAGTTTCCTTGATAAAGCCCTGATCCTGTTTAACAATCGGGTTGGCGGGGCCTGGGCCTCTTGGGTACTGGCTTTTACATATTGGGTACGGTGGTAACAACTGGGCCTATTTTTGGCTGTTCCACCTTGTTCTAGGCTGTTTTTTTTTTTTTTTTATAAGGCTCAGTTACCTGTCAAATCTGGACAGGACGGCCTTTCAGCCCTTTTTTATTGTCATTATAGTATGACGGGGAACCCCGTAGCAGCCACATTCGTGCTCAAGCCTCCAACGAGGGAACATGCGGGAGCTGCACCCACCAGCAGGTGCGATACCTGCTACAGCAGGTGGGTGATACCGGCCAGGGGTCATCCGGTAGCATCAGGACCGAGCTTCTTCGATGGGTCAGTCACTGTGCCTCCCCTCTGGTCCCCTCCCCCTATGAACATCAGCAGTCTCTGCTCAATGCCACTCGGGCGGACCAACGACATATCTCTAGGTGGCGGGCGCCAAGCTTGCCCAGGAAGGTGCATGAGGCCAATGGGGATTGAACCCAAGACCTCATGAATTCCACTTGCGTGCCTTACCAACTGAGCTAGACCGCTGAAATTTTTTTATTTTATTTTTTTTGCCCACTCTCTTGTGTAGTCGTAGTGCTTCATGTATATATTTGGCTTACTTTTCTTTTCGTCACACCAAGCGCAACTCCTGAGGGGAGCCAGTTTCTGGCAGCCGGCCGAACCAGTTGCCGGGACTCCTGCCAGCATGCTTCAAGTTATGGCGTGATGTTTTTTTGCCATTTGAATTTTATGAGCTCGGGGTACTTTTCCTACTTCGTCTTTCTCATTCCCCCTGTTTCCCTGTCTTCTTGTTTCGTCTTCCTATCTCCTCTCCCTTTTTATGTTCATTGGCTTCGAGTGTCTATCACACTTGGCTTTGTCGTGTGCATGGAGTTTTTGTCCTTTACTGCGACATACACATAAACAGCTTACGGGATTTTAACCCGGTTGAGTGACTATGCTCACAGCCTATTCCTGTTACGTGACACTTTGGTCATCCCCCTTTTTTTCTTTCCTTCTCTTTTCACTTCTCTCTTTCCTGTCTTTTTTTCCTTTCTCCTATTCTTTTCTCGTCTTTCCTGCGCGGTGTTTTGTAGCACACTTGAGGACGTGCTTAGTCCTCTCAAGGTTGTATCGGCGACCTCTATGTCACTTCTGTCAATTACTTCACTTCATCCGTGAGTGCCCATTTCGAAACCAATCGAATGTAGCGGATATGGCATCCAACATCCGTCATGATAGGTTTGGGGATGCATCATCTTCATCTTCGACAGATGGCAGCGGGCTTCTTCCAATGCCGGCGCAGGTAGCGGGTACTTCAAATGCAATTGTTCCCTACCAGGCTCCTCATAATAGGAGCTATGTAGGAGGTAATGGCCAGTCGAATGGAGGCTACAATACTGGTAACTACCGTAATGTTGGGTCTAGTAACGACCAACGGTATTCGCGAAACTGGAATGGCGGATACGGGGATCGGGATAATGATGATAGGTTTAATAGGATCTATGGTCTGTTAGCGGAACAGGCGGAAGAGCGTCAGCAGCGCAAGCGGGAGGCTTCAGAGCTGGTTTCTTTAGAAGAGGATAAAAAAAGATTGCAGGTAGAAGAAATGAACCGGTGTGAGGAGAAGGAAAGAGAGCTGCAAGAGGCAAGGTTGGGGCATATTGTACGATCGAGCATGAAAGTGGTTTGTGAATCTGCACTAGGGAGGAAGGTTGATCTTCCCGGTGATGAGGAATCTGAAGTTAGCAAGCTGAGGAAGGAGCTGAGGAACTCAAATCGAAGTGTAATAATCTTTCATCTTCATCTTCTCCAAATCAGGAGGCCCCGATAAAAGAGAAGGAAGTTATGTTAAAGGTGCATGATCAAAGCAGTGAAGAACAACGTCTTCAAAAAAAGATTGATGACCTGAAAGCCAAGATTCATGGCGGGCAACCTGCGCAGAATAATGACGAAGTCCAGACTCTTAAACTGCAGGTTGCTGATTTGAGCAGTTTTCGGAAGGCGCTTGAGGACAAGAACTCGGAGGTGTCAGTATTGAATGCTGAGAACATTGATCTTCGTGGGAATTTAATGATCTATAAGAGGAGCTTGTGTCGATACGTGATGGATGCAAGCGGGCGGTGTTAGGTGTTGTAGAGACGAGTCCGCCTGACGCGTGATGCTCAGAGCCGTGGTCACGCACGACTCGGTCAAACACGATGTCGACGACCTCACGTGCACTGATGGCATAGCGGCACCGAACAAAGCGTGCACGCTTCGTGAAGCGGTCGACGATGACCAGGATAGCATCATGACCGCGAGGGGTCGGAGGACAAAGAGGACCGAAAAAGTCCATCGAGATGGACTGCCAACGACCCTCAGGGATAGGAAGAGGCTGGAGCAGACCATAAGGCAGGTGGTTCGCACTGTTCACCTCCTGACAGGTGGGACACTCTGCGACGTAGTCCTTCACAAAGTCCTTGCGCTTCGACCAGACGTACAGGCGGCTGACACGAGCCAACGTCTTGTGGAAGCCCATACCACCGGCGGCTGCCTGGTCATGGAACTCTGCTACTGCCCGGACACGTAGCTGTCCAGTGGAGGGAATGCAAATACGGGGCTCTCTAGTGCCCTGTGAACCGTGCCAGTACACAAGACCGTTGTCCCCGAGAGAGTAGTTCGGGACGGTCTTGCCACTCCGAAGGGTCGCGTGGATGTCGCGATAGTCGGGGCAGTGGAGGTACTGAGTGCGAAACTCGTCGATCACCGAGTGGTGGACGGTGGTGACCGAGATGGAAGCGAGTTGGATTTGCTCCTGATCGTGGTCAGGGCGCCGGGATAAGGCATCCGCGACCCGATTAATCTCACCCTTGATGTGCTCAGTGGTGAAACTAAACTCAGATAGGTCGTGCCACCAGCGAGCCTGTCGAGGAGTGAGCTTCGGTTTTGTCAGAAAAGCCTGGACAACAGAGTTATCCATACGCACCGTGAATGGTGCCCCGTGCAGGTAGTGACGCCAGTGCCGAGCGGCATAAACTGCTGCGAGAACCTCACGTTCATCAGCGGTGTAGTTTATCTCGGTGGGCAGGAGCTGACGGGAGTAGAAGGTTATCGGACAATCACCTGAGCGAGACTCGACAGTGTCGTCCGAGGTGATGGTAGGAGAATAGTCAATAGAAGGCTCCTCAGTAGCTGGACGAGTAGGCGTCAGGCGAGAGGCAATGGTAGGGGTAGGGGGTGGGAATCGAGGGATACAAGGTTGAGAGGAATCAGGAGAGGAGGGGAAAATATGAGAAAGCACTGCTCCTACAGCAAAGTCAGACGCATCGGTGGTAAGGATAAAAGGGCGATCAAAATCTGGTAGGTGAAGAACCGGTGCACATGTCACCGCCTTCTTGAGGACGCGGAAGGCGTCCTCGTGGAGGGGTGTCCAAGCCCAGGGTGGGTTCTTCCGGAGGAGGGTGGAGGTAAGGACGTAGGAATACCTAGCGTATCCCTGGATGAAATTACTATAGTAGTTGGCAAGGTCTAGAAAGTTGCGAAGTTGCTTGGCGGATGTGGGGACGGGTCACTCCGCAATAGCAGTGATCTTCGCATCGTCCATGTGGAGACCCTGGTCAAACACGTAGTGTCCTAAGAAATCCACTTTGTGCTGGGCAAAGCAACACTTGCTCAACTTGGCGTAGAAGCCAGTGTCTGCGCAAGCGGTCAAGGACGTCGTGGAGGTGTCTGAGGTGCTCCTCAAGGGTACGACTGTAGACTAAGATATCGTCGAGGTAGGCGAGAACTTACTGGTCCAGGATGTCCCTGAAGATGTCGTTCATCGCCCTCCGGAAGGTAGCAGGTGCGTTGGTGAGGCCGAATGGCATCACCGTAAACTCGTAGTGGCCGAAGCGCGATCGGAACGCTGTCTTCGGCTGGTCCTCTGCAGCGACGCGGATCTGATGGTAACCGCTACGAAGATCAATCTTCGTAAAGAAGCGGTTGCCTGCTAGGCGGTCGAACAAGTCGTCGGAACGAGGCATGAGGTAACTGTTCTTAACCGTGTAGCGGTTGAGACCGCGATAGTCGATGCAGAGACGGAGAGTTCCATCCGCTTTGCGAGCAAAGAGGACGGGTGCACCCCACGGGGAGTTGCTGGGTTTAATGAAACCCAATCTCAGGAGCTCCTCAAGCTGACGCTTGAGTTCGGTGGCCTCGGGGATCGAGAGTCGATAGGGTGCCTAGTGGTGAACACGATAGTCAGGCACAAGCTGGATGGAGTGTTCGACGTCGCGCATCGATGGGATGTCGACGTACGAGAACGACGATGGGAAAATGTCATGGTACTCTCGAATGAGGTCACGAACTGCGGGCTCCAGGTCAGTCGTATATCATGCGAGTTCCTCAGCGTCAGCGTCAGCTCGCGACGGCAGGGTGGACTCGACGGACGACGGAGAGTGGGAAGTAGAGATGGGAGCCATGGAGATAGAAGGAGCATCTGGCTCCAAAGGGATGAGCTCGGCGTCGGGACAGGGTGGATCATAGTGTAAGAGATCCGTAACGTTCACCATAAGGAAGGTGACGTCGTCCTGTCGGATGAAGTGAGCAAACTGCTGAGGCGAGGTAACAGTGATAGAAGGAGATGGTGTGGGCACGGAAGGCTCCGGGGGAGGAGGATCGGGGCGTGGTGTCATCGTGGTACCTATGAAAGGTACGTGATACGTCTGTCCACACTTCGTTTTGAGAACGAGAGTGTTGGCCGCCCAATCGGCCTCGGTGCTGCGGAACCGACGAGACCACGGAGTACCGGGAATAAAGTCGTACCCCATCTCCATCACATCGAAATGTGTGGAGGAGCGGTAGCGACGAGACGCCGGAGGACGATCGGTCGGCTCGAGAGTGAGGAAGAAAGGGAGGTCGGTGACCGTCTGATCGAAAAAGCGTTGGGTCTTGTCATCCCCTAGGGTGACAGAGATGCGAATCGGAGACCCTGTCGTGGGTAAGCGGGCTTCTTTCACCACACGTGGGTGAATGAAGTCGCCTTGAGAACCGGAATCCCACAGCGCTGAGTACACCCTCGTGGAGGTCCCCAGTCGTACGGGGATGATCGGGAGGGTGTGATCAGCGTCAGAGAGGATGGTGAGAAGGCGACGCAGTGCAGCGACATGGAGGGTGAGTTGTTCCTCACGAGCCTGGAGCATGCTCAAGTCCAGAAGAGAGGACACGACGTTCTCGCGAGGAGCGAGCTGCTCCCTGCAACGGGCTGAGCAGAGATGAGCACCGGGTACCCAGACCCGCACCCACCTGCACCCACCCCACCCACGAGGACATTGGGTCAGGTGCGGGTCTTGATAAGGTGACCT